ATTCATAGCCAGGGAGGTATAAAATGAAAAACAAACCACAAACAAGACGAACCCTGCCCAGAAATACACACTTCAGGGTTCAAAATTTAACTCTACCAGTGAATGGATGAATGAGGAGATCGAGGTTAACAGGAGTAGGCTCTTCTTACTGCCTAGTAAAATCTTCTGGAAGTTGAAGGATAAATGACCTTCTAGTGAGGACTGAGCTGTAGATCTTGTCTCTGAGAAAGAATCAAATGGTGGCATATTTAACGGAGTCCTCTCCTGCATCCCTCAGCAACTGACAGGTCAGTGTGGCTCAGAAAGAAAGAGAAGTCAGCACATACACACAAGTGAACACACAGATAACAATGTCTCATGTAGTTTGCATTCTCCTTTAAAGTTCCAGTGTGTGCTGAGGGAGGTAGTACTACAAATCCAAAGGGTGTCATTTTTATTTTACTTATTTAGCTCTGCTGCAATGCAAAATCTCCTGCCTTGCTCTCAACTCACCAAGTGCCACCCTCAGACTGCTGCCATGCAATGAGCTGGCTGTAGCCATCACCATCACAGGTCTCTGGCCCCGTTCCACTTGGGAAATGCACCTCTTCTGAGCCTGCTTCATACAAAATTCTGTTGCCTTCATAGGCTTATCCTTAATGCTCACAAATTTCAATAAGATCTGACAGTACTAATGATAAAAATATCTTTAAATGCAATCATTATTTATTGTTGCACTACTACTAGGCAGGTATCTCAATGGGTTTGATAAACTGCTTGAATATGTATCTTTCAGTTAAAATGTTGAATTACTAAGATTTTTATTTTAAAGCACTGCCATAAAGTATCACTGAAAATGCCCTGAAGATGATAATCAGAATAAATTTTCTTCCTAAAATATTTTGGTCATCAAAGAGGAAGTTTACCTGATATGAATATGGAAGTGGTTGATTGGAAGTAATTTGGGCCTTGTTCTGTTTTCACAGGATCACAGAATGGTTTGGGTTGGAAGGGTCCTTAAAAGTTCATCTAGTTCCAACCTCCATGTTCCTTACAGGCCCTTTTTAAAATTCTAACTCTGCAATGTGCCAGTGTTTTTCGGTGCATCTTAGTTTTTAAAAATAACATCAAAGTACAATGTAACCCCAAAGAACCATGCTAATTAATAACAACATGGATTACAAGGAACAAATTGTATTTATCATTGTGTCAAGCTTGCTGGGAATTGTTGCGATGTTATACTGAAATTGTCCCTGTATTTAATTTTCAGGTCACATTCATCATATTTTAATGTGACTCCTGCTTGTTTTCTAAGTTGCCCCCTTAGGTGGCAATCGATCATTTGAGGATTCTTCTGGCTGGAGCTCCTGTTGGAATGAAGGTTAACAGAGAAAATACAGCTCATTATTAGGATAAATGAGTAATAAGAAATGTCTGAGATGACTGTAAGATAAGCATTACATTATACTGCACCTTAAAAGATAACTACAGCTGAGGTGGTTTGAGAATTTCTATTTCCATTGCCCATGCTTTGCAGAATTTTTGTTTCCAGCACTTTAATTTCTTAGGCCTGAAATCCATGGTTAGAATGGTTGAGGGTTGGGTTATATCAGTTAATAAAATTTGAACAAAAGTTGATCTTATACACTTGAGAGGAGCAACAAAGACTAAACATGGCGCCAGTTTTAAGGGGAAAAAAATAGTACTTAAATTATGACCTAGTTATTAATTTTGCCAGGACTGTGCTATTTGTCATACTAATGTAGAGTGACCAATTATGGCAGCCCCAAAGAATTTGCTGTTCTGCCTGAGCCCTGACATGGGTGAAAACAAAACACATAAAGCAGGGCTGTGTGTGTAGGAAAATATATTTAATAAATAAATAAATAAAAAAAAAAAATCAAGGGCTCCTGCTTTGATCTGTCACTGCTCCAAACATTTAAGTACCACACTCTGAATACACAGAACTGAACAGCAAATGAAGCATCTGGTAAGAATAGCCTGGAAATCCCTTAATAAGAGACAGCAAAACAATGGTGGGCAAGGTGGGCTGGACAATTCGCCCCCACTGGGTGGTGGGTCAAGGTATGTGGTGTGTGTCCAGAGAGTCACACATCAGCCTGGGCAAATCCTGCTGCTGAAAGGGCAGGGAAAGGTTTGTGTGACACTATGGTCCCGCTTTCATGCCTTTGAAAAAGGTAGCTTGGAATCCTCTCAAAAATCCCTGGTGGGGAGGATGTCGTTAATGCCATCTGGGTGTCAGCCTTGCTTGAAACAGCAGCGACTGATGTGTCATCTTCAATTAGCACCACGGATGTTTTCTGCACAGATCCCACAGGACTGTCCATGCCACTAGCTGTTCCCAGGGTCAACGCCCCCCAGCCACTCGCTACCTAAGGAACCTCCTTCAGCTGGGGTTAAAAATAACCAGCCCTGAAGCACAGCAGCAGTGGAAGCGAGATTAGCTTCTTCAGATACAATTTTATTCCGGGGCAGATGTTAGCGGCGGGCTTAGCATTTAGGCCGGGCTTCTCCCGACTGATTTTGGCTCCTCGCTTTTCACTTCCCCATTTGCTAGCGCACACCTGGGGACAACCCCGCC